TTTTCTTAATTTCCAGGTGGGTTTTTTTTTCATTTGCAGCCCGTTGCTTTCTGCCACCATAGATTTCAGAAAAAGACATGCCCTGCGTCTCAATGTTAATACTATCCATCCTAAATAGTATGTGAGAATAGAATAAGTGTGTCCCAAAGCATATTATGTTGAAAAGAGTATGGCAAAAGTCCCCGGATGGTCTACTGTTTCAGGTCGATTTTTGAAGTGTGGATCCGTGCACACACTAATGGCTCAAATTGCCCACAATCCATTGCGCTTTGGCGAAGGATTCGGTCCAGAACTACAAACACGAATAAAACGTGTTAGAAAAACTACAAACGTGGCGGATGCACGCAATCGACGGTTAGGTAGAGAGGTTTACAAAAAGGGATTTGAGTTACTAATAATCAACATTTATCCTGGTAAAAAAAAATATGTATTTATTGTTATCCGTGTTATATTTAATCTGCAACAGCAATGTGAACTTTTATAAACGACCATATGGTCGTTAACTTTTAAATGCATCATTATGCAGAAAATATGAGCAGAGTTCTCGGCATGAAAGACCCGCGACTGGCAGATCAACGAGCTACTTCTTTTCTCTCCAATACGGTAGGAAGTTAAATGAAATGCAATGTGGAGGATGTTAACTGTGACAAGATGATTGACAGGCCAGTTTACAGGGACAGGGTGCGTGTAACAGGTGCGACAGAGCGCTCCTTTAAAGACGCAGTTGTGTGGCGTGATAGTATGTCCCAAAGCTTGCCTTCTCTTCTACTGCACAGGAATCAGACAGAGGCGGACAGGAACTAAGTACATTTACTTGAGTATTGTACTTAAGTACACTTTTTGAGTATCTGTACTTTACTTGAGTATTATTTTTTCTGGGAACTTATAACTTTAACTTCACTACATTTGAAAGACAAATATTGTACTTTTCACTCCACTACATTTCTATCAAGATCCTCGAAGTAGAAAGTCGTTACTCTGTAGCAGCTTTGAAAGTCAGTAAGTGATTTTTTTTCTTCTCTAATACTTGACTTTCTTTTTTTCAGACAGTTTATCAGTAATCACTCTTGTGGGGCTACATGAAGTGATTTCCCAGCATTTTTTTAGCACTGACCAGCTGCAATGTGATATTTATTTACAACAATTCAATAATAAGAAGTTAATATTGTGGTATATATTAGACACAATATTGTCTGATTTTGCTTAATTGTGTAGGTGAAAATATTACCTATAAAGCCACAGAAGAACTGTTGTGTGTCTCCTAATAAAACACAATAGGTGTTGGACTTGAAGCAGAACTGCACAGACCGTTCTGTGTGTGACATCCAAGTACCACGAGAGCGATTAGACAGCATTTTATCATTTTTGTTTTCATGTCAAATAAGTCTTGCTGGTTTGCTTTTTTGTTAAAGCAGTGTTGCTGTTGTAAAGTTACACAGCTACAGTTGTGTTGCTGGGTTTTAAAGCAGGTTTGATTTTTTTTTCTTCCTTATCACTCTGTATTTACAGGATTTCACTGTCCACTCTGTTCAAATGTGGATGAATGGCCACATGGAGATGTCAGAGCTAAGTGAGATCACTACCATCCTGATTTTGTGGGGGTCGGTAGGGGTGTTAATTTTTGTTTTGTTTAGTTTTTTCCCCCCCATAGGTTTTTAACATTCTAAAAGCTCTTTATTCCAAAGATACTACAAGCTAGTCAGTGTATTCAGTAGGTGTAATGTATTATAAGTTGCTTCAGAAGTATTGCAAGTATTACTACGTACAATAATAAAACAGTGCATTGACATAAAAAAGGAAATGTACTTTTGGTACTTAAGTACTTTTAAAAGCAAGTACTTCTGTACTTTTACTGAAGTAAAAATCTGTCTTTACAACTTTTACTTGTAATGGAGTAATGTTTGACCAGCAGTCTCTGTACTTTCACTCAAGTAATGGAGCTAAGCTGACATCAAAATAGAGGAATTAGATAAAGCAATAGATAAATTATCTTCAGGGAAATCTCCAGGCCCTGATGGCCTCACTTCCGAATTTTATAAAAATTATAAAAAGCCTTTCTCGAATGTATCCAAAACTATCTTCGACTATGAAACAAGATCTAATTACTCTTATCCCCAAACCAGGTAAAGAGGCACGACAAATAGATAATCTTCGCCCCATCACTTTACTCATCTGTGATTATAAAATTATAGCTCATATATTTTCCAATAGACTCAAGAAAAACATAAATCAAATAATTAGTGAATCACAGTCTGGTTTTATAAAAGGCAGATCAATACATAATAACATCAGATTGATTTGAGATATTTTAGATTATCGTGAATGTATTGAGGATGATGGCTATATTCTCTTTTTAGATTTTAGAAAGGCATTTGACACGATCGAACATAACTTCATTTAGCTTTATTTAGCTCCCTTGAAAAATTTGGTTTTGGCATTAAATTCATTTCTTTTATAAATACGTTATATAAAGACATCAATAGTTCTATATCCCTTTCATTTAGAACATCCCAGAGATTCAGCATTTCACGAGGAATAAGACAAGGATGTCCCATTTCCCCTCTTCTATTCATCTTAACAGTAGAAATGCTTGCTATCTTGATAGATAAAAACAGCAACCTTGATAGACTCAGTGTATTTGGAAGACACATTGGTATTAGTCAATTAGCTGACGATACAGTGATCTTTTTAAAGGACCAATTTCAAATTGCATCAGCATCAGGCCTACACTTAAACTTGAACAAGTGTGAGTTACTTGCAATTCATGGCAGTGAACTAGACTCTTTATGTAACACACCAATAAAAACATGTGTAAAATACTTGGGGATAACTATTACTAGAGATATTAATCAAAGTGTCCAAGAAAATTTTGTTAAAAATATTTCAAAAGGAAAAAACTATTCTCAATAACTGGATACAAAGAGATATCTCAATTTTTGGAAGAGTTTTATTAACTAAAATGGAATTACTCTCCAGGTTTGTTTATCCAGCCTCCTCCTCAGCTATCCCACCTCACTTACTAAAAGAATGTAATATTGCATTATTTAACTTTATTTGGAAAAATAAGCATCACTATATTAACAAAAATGATTTAGTTCACAGTTACGAAGAAGGGGGATTGAATGTTATTGACTTAGAAATAATAAATAGTGTTTTAACAACTCAATGGTTAAGATCATTTCTTTGTAATACAATACAAACTGCTTATGGTTTACTATCTCTTCTTCAATATTTGGGAAAGTAGGTGGCTTGGAATTTTTGATTAGATGTGACTGATTTGTCCAAATTACCTCTTAAATTGTCTGCATTCCATCAACAAGTTCTCCTGTGTTGGAAATTAGCATTTTCTCACAACTTTAGTCCACCCACAACTTGTATTTGGAACAAGCGTTTTATTTTGCACCATAACAAATCTTTATTTTATGAAAACTGGTTTCAATATAAAAATAAATTTCACTATTGGATACGATGGACAACTATGGTAATGTTCTCAATTACAATGATTTTTGTTTAAAACGTGGATTTGTATGTCATCCTAAACAGTTTTACAATGTTGTAAATGCCATACCAAAAAACATGGTATTATTAGTAAAAGGGATTCTTTCACATTACATTCTCTCTCCCATCTCCTTGTCTGGGTGATGAATTATCTTACCTTTCCAAGTCTCCCTAAAGTGAAAGAACTTCATTTTAAAATAATACATGACATATACCCATCTAAAGAATTTCTCAAATCAAAATTTGATATTGGAGAAAACTGGTCAATTCTGTGAAATTGATAGTGAAACCACTGAACATATTTTTTTAATTGTAATTACTCAAAGTTGTTTTGGACTCAAGTGTGCAGTAAAATGTCATGTATAATTACATGTGTAAATCCCCTTGAATACAAACAAATTAAGTTTGGTGCGCTTAAGAAAGATTGTTCACAACATTACTTGGTAACAACCTTTTTGAAGTTGCTAAATACTTCATTCATAAATGCAGATTTCTGAAAACCCATCTATCCTTTCCTCACTTTTCTAATGAACTTAACATTTTTGCTGCTTCTCTTGATGCCCTTTCAAATGAAAAAGCTACTACAGTTGCCAGTTTCTTCAGTGAGCTAAGTGCCCTATAACTCCTTGCTACCCCTTGTAAGAACTTACTTTTCTATAAATGATTTTACTATTATTTTTATTTTTATTTATTTATTTAATAATTATTATTATTTTTATTTTTTTAAATTCTTTTTTGTTCTTCATTGCCCTTAATGATTGTACATTTAATGTAAAACTTCACTATTACATATTGTAATTGCAACTATGTCTGCCTTTGAGAATTGTTCATTTTTAATATTGTTTGTTCAATGCCTATTTTGTATGTACATTTGTTTATTTACTATAAAAAAATTAAATAAAATAAAAAAAACTCTTCTACTACTCACTCAAAAGTGTGTACTTTTTCTTCACCAAAAGAGTACATACTTTAAGGGCATAGTATAAGTAGGTACATTGAGACGCAGCAATAAATTCAAGGTGGACTTTTTTTCTATTATAAGTCCTTTTTACTTAGGCTACTAAAGGTATGAACTATTCAAGATTCAAGATTTCTTTATACAAGTATAGTGAAATTTGAGCAATCCTAACAGTGCAGTCACGTAACTTAAACATCTGTAACACAAAAAAAAGTAATAATAATAATAAAGTATGTTATTACTACACAATACAAGACAAACAATACACAAGCCAATGCAAACAAGGCGATAGTGCAAAGTTAAGCCTGGTCTGCAATACAGTCAGCGATAAACGGTATGCTGTTTAACAATACAATACAAAGACAGTACAAACAAGGCGATAGTGCAAATTTAAGCCTTATTAAATATTGTATTGCACACATTATTGCACAGTTGGCACATAATAGAAAATATGTATATGTTGCATTGTTTGCATTCTAAAGGCTCCAGTGAGTGGACAAATATTGCACAGGAATGCTGCACAATAGACATAATATTGCACACTATGAAGAGGTAAGAGCAACGTAATGTAAACAGAACTGAATAATATAAAGTGTGAACATTTACAGAGTTAGAGCACACTGAGGTATACAGGGGGTATTCACCTGTGTAGGTTGAGCTATAAATAGCTCCATCATATTTGTGCATTTCTCAGTTATCTGTTTTTGTGTATGCCGGCAATGTTCTATCAATCAGACGGCAGGCATGTGGTAAATTGTGTTCAAGATTTTGCACGTTTTTCAGCAAATTATCAATTATATTCATAATTTAAAGGCCTTAAACCACGTATCAAATATGATACCGCTTTATAGGGTAAGCATTAAAGTTCTTGTATATCGAACTGTTCTAAACAAGCCGTATTAAATATAAGCAGGACACTCTTTCTCGTGGGATACTGATTCGATTATAACGGTTATTCCAATCATAGATCTCGCCTATATTTTGCCCTCATGAGGCGGGACAGCGCTCAATGGGAAGTGCGTGACTGTGGCTGCAGGCGGAAGTGAGGCTTCCAGAAAGTGCGAGGGCGGGTTGCGCAGGGAAGTGGGGAGGTGGTTGGTTGGATGCTATTTGGTTAACATAACACAAACGTTTACTGTGATTTCTTGAAAAGGCCTCGCGCCGTATACTCACATAATTAAAACGTCCAACATTATTATTGCTGTGTAGCCTGAGTCAGTTAAGGTTGCATAGTTTTCTAAGGGAGAGCTGGAAAAAGCAAAGTCGAGGTGCGCGGCAGCAGATACACTCATCTGCATCTTTCCCGGACAGACAGTCAGTCGACTGCGGAGCTGCTGTACGTGACTGAGGGAGCCCTGCTCTGCTCTGCTCTGCCCTGCTCTGCTCTGCCCTGCTCTGCTGCACACCAGCAGCTCACTCATTGCAGACGGGATTTGCAAACACTGTAGCCAGGTTAGTCAAAAGGAGGCGAGCATAGATGGACGTGATGTGCGTGTGCACCCGGGAATGTGGTTTCCAGCTGTTGATTCATTCTTCTTCGTTATACCATCAGCTAAATAATACTGACTGCGGTAAAGTTTGTTTCATATTCACATATTCGGAGTTCTGCTCTCAATAACTTTCTTACGGTGTATGCAGAATGGTTCGTATGAGTAAATTATAATGGCCAAGTATGACTATCAGCTACAACTCTGTTTTGTTTTATAAAAGCGTAAAAAAGCATTGATCTCTATGGATGGTGGTGACGTCAACGATCTTTAAGGGACCGTCTAATTATTTGGCATATTTGACGTATACTCGCCCAGGCTTCTAACCTCAACCTTTCTGTTTTATTTGATAGAGAAACCTTCCAAAACAAGTCGTTGATCATCTATAAATGAAGTAGTAATAATAATTTCTATGTATGTATGAATGTGTATGCCCTTGTCAAACATGACTGAGTAAACGAAAATCACACTATTGTTTCATTTCATTTATTTATTTATTTATGCATGCGTATATTGCTTTTCACAATAAATATAGTTTTGCATGTTTGTACATTGCAAATAAGAGTAATTGGTTTTTTAGGTCACTGTGACAATTGTCCATATCTATCTATCTATCTATCTATCTATCTATCTATCTATCTATCTATCTATCTATCTGTCTATATTTAAATGATTTGTATGTTCTGTTCACTTTTTAATGAGGCAGGTTTTAACATAAACAATATGATACATTAAAGCTTGTAGTATTCCGGTTTTCACGTTTGGTTAAAGTTAGGTTGTTTATTTTCATTAAAAGTGTTAATAATATATATTAATATTTGAACTGATTTGTCAAATATGGTAAGAAAATGTTTTACACACTCTAGCTGCAAATTTAAGTATATCAGTTTTCACCCTCAAATTTCAGTAGCTTTTGATGGGTGGCAAAGATTGGCCTTTACAACATTATCATATATCTGTAAGGTCTGTCTTTAATATTATTAAATACACTGCAGCTAAACATTTCACCTCAGATGAACTTGGCAATGTTAAGTTTTATAAAGATTTGTCTCCGTACGCGCATGTGTTACTGAGTACACATGATTCTGCTGTTCACAAGTGCATTGAAATTCCTATGAAGGTGTTTTCAATTTTTCATAAGCTTAGGATCAGAGGGAAGGCAATGCAACTGTGTTTTTTCACAGCTTGACACTGAGGTGCATCTTGTTGTCTTCGGATCCGTCTTTATCGTTTGGTTTCTTTGTAGACCTGCATTTCTCTTGTTATTTACCCAATACATGTGTGAATCGGTGGGCGGAGCTAAACAGGCAGTGGGGTAGAAGCAGGCACTGATCATCTGCGGATAGCCACACTATTACATCATAAAGTGGCATATTCCACATCCCGTCGTTTTGGCAGATTGGCTTCAATATGAGATGTTTTTAGACTAACAAAGTTTGAGTTCTGAAACTTTTTTTATAGTACAATGACCTCTTTATATGTCACAAGATCAAGTGATTTTTATTTCTCAGTTCATGACCCCTTTAAAAAGTTATTTTCATTCATTACAGCATAAAGTAATCTATCTTACACATTTTTATGAATGACTGAAGTTATCTCCATCTCATGCTAGTGAGAACAAATGTGAAAGAAAAAAACCTTTTAGACGGTCCCTTACTTCTCCGGCGCGCATAGACAAATATTCGCAGTAGATTCAGCGCAAATATAACAGACGGCTTGATAGCATTATTTGTAGCTGATTGTCAAACATACCAATAATAGTAATTCATTAATATTAGCATTTTTTCATCCACCGTTGGGAAGATACTGAAATTTTTTTTAGAATGTCTGAATATGAAACCAACTTTACCGCAGCCAATAACTTGACCATCCCTGTCAGTAGCATTCATTAAAGAACATATATGAAGCGTTAATCTTTATTTATAATAAATTGAATGTATGGTATACCAGTTATGACACTTAAAGCCAGTCTTATCTTTCCAAAATGAAAAAGGCATGGCTCTTTTTACTTATGCTTTGTTAAATGTGCACCTGATAATGTTTTGTGTCTGTTGTAGGCTATTATTAATAATCAGCATTTAAAAGGTTTTCATATAAATGTCCATATTTGGTTTACATTAGTTACATTTGGTTTACAGTTCTTATTTGTGCTGGTTTCAGGTGTGGAGGGAACTGTTCTCACCTCTCCATGCTCTGAACTTTGGCATTGGTGGAGACACAACCTGTAATGTGCTGTGGAGACTACAGAATGGAGAACTGGAGAACATCAGACCCAGGGTGAGGAAGCGTTTTTTTATTTGTTCTAATACTAATAATTGTTCTAATGTTAAAGAACAATATTTGCCATAAAGCAAAATGTATGTTTACCGCTGGAATTGAATCCTCATTTGTTTTTCCACAGGTGGTGGTTTTATGGGTAGGAACCAATAATCATGAGCACACTGCGGACCAAGTTGCAGGAGGAATACTTGCCATTGCACAGTTAGTTATGACTCACCTCCCCAAGTCCAAAATTATTGTTTTGGTGAGTTACCTAAATCACAATTTCTGTATATTGAAAATATGAGACTTGGTGTTCTAATTAACATGTATACAGAGTATCAACTCTGAGCAGTTCAGTTATTTGTTTGAAGCTGATTAGTCGTAATTCCTGTCATTCAGGGCCTGTTGCCAAGGGGAGAGTTTCCTAACCCCCTGAGAGAGAAAAATGCAGCAGTGAATAATCTACTTCGCGCATCTTTACCTCGACTCGGCCCTGTTCAGTTTATTGATATGGGAGGTAGTTTTGTCCACTCAGATGGGACTATTTCATCTCGAGACATGTTCGACTTCCTGCATCTGACTGCCAGTGCATACAGGACCATATCAACGACTCTTCATGAGATGCTGCTTCAAATGTGGGAGGAAACGCCTCAGGAGAGGCGGGCCTCACTGGTCTAGGAAGGGGGCACTGCATTGGTCAATCACTGGAGAGGCAAGGTTAAGAATTGTTTGCTATTCAGAATGTACCTAAAATACTTTATTTAGCAAGACAAAGAAAAATACAAAAAGAACAGCAAAACAAAAGGGGATGTAGGACAGTGGCCAATTTTATATGATCAGTTGAAAATGTGTGTATGTATCTAAGATGCATAATAGACAACAGTATAAGAAAGAAGACTAGATAAGAAATATCTGTGACAAGAGATAGTTTTTCTTAGGACATGTTGCTTTGCGGTGGGACCAGAATTTCTTCAAAATCCCATTGTCACAGTCTGAACAACCTTTAATAGTAGCACTTACTCTGCCATCTTCTCCGTGCCTTCATACATGCACTCGGTCACACAGTGTTGTTATGATGACTGCAGCATGATTCAGTTCACACAAGAGAAATCATGCCTTTGAAATATGTATGTCTTGCTCCCATATTAAGATCTTTGGCACAGAGGCGTCTGAAACCTCCTTTTTCTCTTTTGCCCTTTCATATTCCCAAGAACACACCTATGATATATTAGAGGAAGACTGGAGTGAAAACCATCAAACAATGTCATACCTTGTGTTTGTGAGTTTGGGTGTGAGAAAGCTCCTCCTCTTAAGCATCTAATGCACAATCGTGAGGTTTTCAGTGTTAATATGTATCTCACTTGCATCCATGTTTTTGTGTATGTGTCCATGCGCTCTATAAAGTATTATGTGAAGAGTTAAATGTGAGTATGGGAGAGCCACTGGGCAAGAAATTATATATAAAGTTAAGTGAGTGAGTGAGTGAGTGTGGGTGTGTGTGTGTGTGTGTGTGTATGTATTTATGTATATATATAAATAGAATCTGTTAGTATTAATGTACTCTGTGCAGAGCGCTTACTGGTGCTGGTGTATGTGAATGTTTTTGTGTTGGAGTGTAAGAGATCAACCATCTATAACTATTTGTATGGCCCGCAAAGCGTGCACTGTTACTGCGGCACAACTGCCACATGCTTCAGATCCAAGCATTCCAATAAATCGGCAGAGATCGAACCTCGTGTGTACACTTTATTTCACATGTTGTGTGGGATGTTTATTTCAGTTTAATTTTACAGCATTTGTACTGCGCTGACATGATGCTTTTAAACGAATCCAGTGAATCTGCATTTAACCAGTAATCAGGCTCTAAATCAGTCTGCCTAAGAGTTTCTACATCCACATTCAATTAGTTAGCTTGAATATTCACTGATCAGTTTTTCTCAAATACAGGAATATTAGATCATACTGCATTGTATATCAGGAAAAGACATGGGAGGAGCGTCATGCTGGAGGCAAATATTATTCTGTATCATTCATGATTATGAATCTGCTCCGGAAATACAAAAATAGCCAAATCCATTCAGCCTGTAGAGGGAGACATGCACCAACCTGTGTAAATAACCTACTGCGGAATCATGTAGATGATTTTTAATCATTCATTAAGAAATGCAATAAGCCTCCAACATGGAAACCTCGAAATAGGTGAACAAACCTTCACTATAATTAATGGGTAGGCCTACAACATTTTTATGAATGGTCCTCTCTACCCAAAAATATGATTTTTTTTCTCTGTTAGTTGGGTTGATATCACAAGCGAATAAACTGAATCTTATACTGATTTGAAAACATGAATAGTATCATCATTACTATCGAGTGTCATCATGAACTATCAGAAGAACTAAAACTACCCAAAATCTTATACTTTAAATGTAAGGTGGAAACCAGTTCACAAATACTACAGGGGCAATGACATGCTGTGCGTCAATATGCCTATTTTTATGGGGTCGTATATGACAGGGATTCATACAGGTTGCATGAATAGAGACAGTGATAAGTTAGTGCTGATGATGACACAAGCTCAAATGGAGCTCTGTTCCTATGATACAGACTGTCACTTGGTTAACTTCGCCCTCTGTGTATATTACCATATAGTAGGGATGTGCATCTCATGACTCAGGCCGATAAGATACGCATCTCGATGCATAGCCAACGATACGATACATTAAAGATACATATGAAGCAGCTACCGATGCGATGCGATACGATTCACCCCTTACGATGCAGTGCGATCTGATTTCGATTTGATTCAACACAATGCGATTCGATGCAATATGCTGCAATGGATAAAATATGATCACTTTTAATGCCTCGAGGCCTGTTTCATAAAACAAGTTAACCAAATAAGCCAGGCTTATTTCAGTTAGTCTGACTCATTGTCAAATGATTTGGTTCCATAAAGCAAATTTAACATAGGCCTAGATCAGTTAGTCACTGTAGCAACTTATGCTGGGAAATTAACCTGGTCTAAAGCAGGCTAACTGTCAGGCTAAGCTAAGCTCCTCTACTGACCAATAGGAACATAATGATATTACAACTGTCTCACATACTATTATTTAAATATATATTTTTTTACAATTCTAGCATGCAGCCTTTCTCTCTGGTTGTATTACAGCTGTACCTTTAGTTTGCAGAACAGATAGCAGAACATTACAATCTAAAATTGCTCTTTAAAGCATTAAAATAACTAAATTAAAAGTTAAAAACACTGAATTAAAAATGAAAATAAATAATAAAGAAAATTACTACATTTTGACTGCTATAAGAAACACACATCAACTCATTTGAGTTTAGTAATTAGTACTGTAACTAGCTTACATTTGATTCACCTATTACAATAGTCCACTTAAGTTACTACTATCATAAAAATATACTTTATATGAAGGTTTAAAATTCTACAAAAGACACATTTAATGTCCAAAAACAATTTTTTAGCAAAATGTATATTTTACTCGGGATTATTGCCATAGACATATTATATGTCTATGATTATTGCGCTCTGTCTGTTTAGTGCGCATGCGCGCAGCAGCGCTCGTTCACTCGCGTCAGCCACGCCCACTCCCAACAGCAAAATGGATATGTTTGCAAGACTTTCTAACATTTACAGATAAAAAATATACCTGTGACATGTCAGTTATGCACTGAGGAAAACACAACGTCTCAAATGCATTAAACAGCACGAATATATTCGCTGTTTGTCATGGTGGATCGATTTGATCCATGATTGACATTAAGGTCTGTTTAAGATTAAGCGTGCACAAATTTAGTGAGATTGTGTGAATTTAATTAGTCGTTGATGGAACCGCTTTAGCCCCGATTGATTTGTTAGGTTATTTCAATTCAGTTTTTGGACTTTAATCCCAGTTTTTTCCTCGGGTCTCCGTGGTGTGATCAAGCGGCAAACTCCCGCTCTCTCTCTTGAAGCCAACAAGGAAGTGACTTAAACTGTAATTCGTCAACTGGCCGCTAGATGCTGGCTGCAAAAGGGAGTCAATCCCATAGACTCCCCATGTTAAAATGCCCAACTTTACAGCAGAAAAAAACGTGTTTACAGCCTGGTTCCAAAAATGATTTTGGTCTATATATCTAATTTTGCCCTTCATGACAACTGTGAGGGGGGTGAATTTTTTTATAACTCATCCGTTTAAATTATATTAAGCCTTAAAGTTCTGCATAATTAAGGGCGTGGCCACTTGAGTGACAGGTGGATTGCCGCTGCTGTCACCACCGTCGAGCTAGGTGGGCGTGGCTTCAGCAACCTGCTCCCGCCTCTTTTGATTATCCGGGAGTGACGCGCGGTGACCCGCTGCCAAGATGGCGACGGCCAGCGCTCCGCCCACTTTAGGCTTCAAAACGCTCTACGGTTGACGTCACGGACACTACGTCCATGTTTTTATACAGTCCCCTTTTTTTATTTTTTATTTTTTTTATTAATTCTCAAAAATCAAGAATAGTACACATAGAATAATACAACCATTAACATAAAAAAGATAAACAATAATAACAAAAAAGAAAGAAAAAGAACAGGGGAAAAAAGAAAAAGGGGCTTGTTAATACATAATAAACTGAGAGAATAAAATTGAGATTTACATGTCATTAAAGATAGGAAAAGAGTTACAGATAGATCAACTTTTTAAGGCTTTTTTGTTCTTAGACAACTGGATTAATGAAAGGTATTGCTCAAAATCTTTTATAAGAACAAAGAAGAGAGGTCTAGAGTTTGAATATTTGCATTTGTGGATGTGAAATTTTGCAAGAAGCAAAATCAGATTCACTACATAAAACTGTTTCCTTTTAGATTGTTCGATTTATTATCTCCCCCCCCCCATTTATATATCTATTGTTAGATATAAATTCGCAATTTTGAGAAGAAAGGTCATAATTGTAAGATATAGACTCACAATTGCGAGAAAGTTATAATTCTGAGATACAAAGTTGACATTTTTTTTATTCCATGGTGGAACAGAACTGAGAGATGTAAATTCAGAAGAAAACATAATCTGATATATAAACTCAGTCAAAATATATATTTAAAAAAGGCAAAATTGCGAGATAAATATTCAGAATTGAAAAAAAAAAATTTTTTTTAGAATTCTGCGTTTACATTCACAATTCAGAGTCAAAGAGATTCAAATTCAGACTCCGATTTGGTAAAGAATCATTCAGACCCATTTATGAACCAATTTAACTGATTCACTTAAAAGAATCAACTCAAAAAATGATTCACTTTGGCTTGCATGCAAAGTTTATGCTACATGAACAGTCCCCTTGTCCAAATACCCACACTTGCGGTCTTGGCCACTTGAGAGCGCGTGAGCGCGACAGGAAGTAAGTGCGCAAGACTGTCCCAGATCTTAAGAACGCCAAGCAGTGCTCTTACCGCACACTAAACCCACACTATCTTGAATACCGCTGTCAACCATCTATAACTATTTGTATGGCCCGCAAAGCGTGCACTGTTACTGCGGCACAACTGCCACATGCTTCAGATCCAACCATTCCAATAAATCGGCAGAGATCGAACCTCGTGTGTACACTTTATTTCACATGTTGTGTGGGATGTTTATTTCAGTTTAATTTTACAGCATTTGTATAAGAGTTTCTACATCTACATCAAGACTGTCCCAGATCTTAAGAACGCCAAGCAGTGCCCTTACCGCACACTAAACCCACACTATCTTGAATACCGCAGCAAGAGCGCTATTCAAGGCTAAGTGTATCCCATCATGCATCATGTTCTGGAAATAAATCCTGAGACTTTTTGCCGAGATCTCGCGAGAGGTCACGGAAACCTTTCCAATGCAAGTTAAATATCAATATAATAATTAGATATTACATATAATTTGGTAGAAAAACTGTGTTTTTACGTTTTATTGTTGCAAAGATGAGTAGTGGTGAAATTTATTTTGTACAACATTTGCAACTGCGTTTTATCACTTAATTAGAAGCACCACAAATGAAAATTGTCATGTTATAGGGACGACTGAACAGACATTTAGAAGTTGATTTTAAAATGCAAAGTATTTAAAATGTAAATAAAGCTATGTGAACACTTGCATTTTTACAAAACTACAAGTGTGTCCCATCAGGTAATGAAAAGTTCGACACACACTTGTGGTCTTCATGCTCACTTGAACACTTGGGCCAAATACAGGAAATACGTCATATAAGTGGTCAAGTGGTCAAGTGCAAGACCGCAAGTGTGGGTATTTGGACAAGGCAAGTCTATGGGTGTGATGCGCCATATTCACGCAGCAGCAGCAGTGATGAGAGGAGAAATCAAGCTACATATAAAATATTGGTCACTGATTATTGGTCACTTTCTAAATAATAAAAGTATAGCGCATCCACTAGTAATTATATATAAATGAATCGGTTTTTACCGATGCAAATATGTTAGAAACGATGCATCGCGATATAAATGACAACTTTAGCCGATGCACACTTTTTAAACCGATGACGTTAAACGACTTTACCTTTTTAGGCCGATGCACGAGCGAATCGAGGAATCTTCCCATCCCTACCATATAGTGATTAGAACCCACTGGCCCTCTCTGTTTGACTGCCCATTTGTCTATTGCCAGTACAAGAAATATATTACCTTATATAATACAATAGGCCTACTACATTAGGTTAATATTTGTATAATATAAAATGTATACTTGCA